TTGAGGCAAGCTGGAGCTAACCACTGCAGGACACCGGCCCTCCAGGACTGAGTTTGGGCACCCCTGATGTACGCGATTGAGAAAAAAGTCAGAATCGTGAGTTTACAGGGTTTCTACAGACATGAACAAGTTACATTTAAGACTTTTTAATACCACCTTATATGAAATGTAAAACCTAAACCTGTAATGGAAGTACACATTATATTACATACAGTACATACATGTAATATTTAATGTGTTTAACATAAAAAGAAATGGTATTTATTACTATGATATACAGTGAACTTTTAATGTCAGCAGACAATATTCCATACAAAATATCCCCGCAAAATAACTGCATCGCTGAGATTTCTGGTGGAGTAAACAATTTATTCTGAAGCAATATTTCCATCAGTGTTCTATCAGCTTTTACATACTTAAATCTGCATATTTACCTTTACAAAGGCCTATTTTTAACCAAAGTATTACAATTTATCAATAAATTCAATATACACTATAGGGCTGCTACCAATCAGATTAAATAATTTACTCTGCAAATAACAATAATTACAACTGCGATAAATAATGTTATGAGATTAATGTTTTAAATGCATTTATGAATATACAAATAAGAAATGTTCACTTAATGAGTGAGTATTGAGTCATTCATTCACCTGATTGAGTGTGTTATCATGCTGCTATCTTAAGGACGCTCTAACCTGTCAGACTGGCTCATTGACTTCTCCGTTCTCTCCATACTGCAGATCTTTGTGGGGAAGATCCCGAGGGACTTGTTTGAAGATGAGCTCGTGTCTCTGTTTGAGAAGGCAGGGCCGATCTGGGACCTGCGTCTGATGATGGATCCTCTGAGTGGCCTGAACAGGGGCTATGCCTTCCTCACGTTCTGCACTAAAGAGGCTGCACAGGAGGCCGTCAAGCTAGTAAGACATAAATACATTTGCATGCTGGTTCACTCATAAGTGTATCATAATGTATCAAACTAGGTTCACAGTCATATCTCAGAATCATTCCAGAAAACCTCATTGGGTTGTTTGTGGGGAAGTCACTTTTGTTCCAGAAAAAATATGATTGGGTAGTGAAAGACGTGGGTGTTGCTTTGTAAATTCAGCAGTTGTTAAAGTATTCAATCCCTGTTTTTCTCCTCTCAGTGTAACAATCATGAAATTCGCTCGGGCAAACATATTGGCGTGTGTATATCAGTGGCAAACAACAGACTCTTTGTGGGCTCCATTCCCAAGAGCAAGACAAAAGAACAGATTGTTGAAGAGTTTTCCAAAGTCACAGGTGAGCTTTGCTTTGAAATGAGCGTGCATTCCTCGCTCCATGCTGCGTATCTCTGTGTCCTCTCAATATGCTCCATTCTTTTGGGTTCTTTAAAGATTCTAAGATACACATTTAACGTTCTTTCTCTTTTTCTCAGAGGGTCTTACTGATGTAATCCTTTACCATCAGCCGGATGATAAGAGAAAGAACAGGGGCTTCTGTTTTCTGGAGTACGAGGAGAAAAAAAGTAATTTTAATGCAGTTTAATAATAATGCAACATAACGAAATATGAAGACTTTCTATAGGCACTGTATAATAGCAATTAAGCAATAATAATTAGTTCTCATAAAGTATGAAAAGCAAGTAATATGGTTTTATTGAACACAACTTTTGAAATACACAATGTATTATAAACAATAGAGCTAATGTACATTACACAACAAATGCCTGCAGACACGCCAACGGCCTGACGATTGGGATCGAATCCTTGTTTAATAATGACTAAACAACATTTCATTCAAATGTTCAATTAATCTTTAATATTTGGCCATTTCTTTACGACAGAAATGCACCACCCACTGCAATTTCTTGAATATGTAGACATCAAAATGTGTAAACTCCGAGTGAGTGTTTGAGCTTTTATTTTGAAACCGCGATGAACAGTTCGCATGTTCAGAAAGATACTGATGTATTCTCCTGTGTTTGTGTAAGTTTATAAATGATTTACCTTACAAATCTGATGAAATGGTGCATTTTGTGTGTGCAGATGCACGTTATAATAAACTTGAACTCAGAGCAATATGCAGAGATGGAGTTTGAGATGCTCCACACATGTAAATGATAACCGTTTGTGCGGAGCAGCGTTTACTGTGAACAGAGCCGCTCTGAGACACACGTATGTGACCTACACGCATGTAAATAATTAAAGCGCACATATTAAACCGGCGTCGCATATATTTATTTAATTTAATCAAATCGTTTGTGAATTCACATTAGCATAATGCTATTAGCAATAGCATTATACATTATGATTTTTTAATTAGTTTAAAATGTCACGCAGCCTTGGAAGACGGTCTAATAATGCGTTTCTTGGATTCTCGTCCGTGGAATGCGCCGCTTCCGGTATTTTGCTGATTACTCGACACGAGCAAATTACAATAGAGTAATTTTTTTAAATCGAGCACTCGAATTGAATCAAGGAATTGTGACAGCCCTACCTTGATTAGCTCAGGCAGGTGTGTTTGGCTAGGGTTGGAGCAGCCCTCCAAGAGCAGGTGATTCATAGCTCTGCATGTCTGAGATTAGCGATCTTGGAGCGGCTTGGCATTTCGTATGAATATAAACATCCCTGTGCTCTTCTCTCCCAGGTATGATGATTACTACTACTATGGGCCTCCCCAGATGCCGCCTCCTGCCAGGGGCCGGGGCAGGGGTGCCAGTCGGGGTGGTTACTCCTACCCGCCAGACTATTATGGCTATGAAGATTACTACGATTATTATGGTTATGATTACCATAACTACAGGGGTGGCTACGACGACCCATACTTCGGCTACGATGACTTCCAGGCGCCCGCTCGAGGCAGAGGGGGGCGAGGCGGCGCGTCTCCGGTGCGCGGCAGAGGGGCCAGCTCTCCACGGGGCCGGGCGGGCTTCCTGCAGCGCGGCGGCGGGCCAGGGGCCAGCAGGGGCCCACGCGGAGGAGCCAGAGGCGGGGTTCTGCCGAGAGGGCGCGGGGTACGTGGTGCTCGGGGTGGACGCGGTGGAAATGTAGGAGGCAAGCGCAAAGCCGATGGCTACAACCAGCCAGATTCCAAGCGGCGCCAGACCATTAATCAGAACTGGGGCTCGCAACCCATTGCACAGCAACCCTTGCAAGGTGGCGATCATTCTGGTAACTATGGTTACAAATCTGACAACCAGGAGTTTTATCAGGATTCTTTTGGGCAACAGTGGAAGTAGAGAATGTAGGGCTCTATTGTCTTCTTTATAAAAAGGGTTTGGTTTTTTTTTGATTGGCCCTCAAATCCATTAAAGGTTGCCTCTCTCCTCTTCCGGGCGGGTTTTCTTGTACATATTTTAAGAATCCGCTTGGACTCGATCAGTAGTCACTCCCACCTGCTTCTGCCGAACTGTTTTTGTTTTATGTTTTGTTTGGAAGTCGTTTCCTACTTTTTAAAATCGGGATTGAAATTTTTAAATTTGCAGTTTTGTGCTCAACCTGTCTATTTGGCTATATAGTACCATGTATGTTCATAGGAATATTGCTCTTCATGTCTTAAGTAGGTAACAGCAACAAAAAAGGACAAAAATGAAAAAAAAAAAGTGTCTCCTAAACTTGTATTCAATGAAGAAAAAGGAAAAAAAAATTGCTATTTGTATGTTACAAAAGATAATGCTAGTCAAATAGCTTGTCTTGTTTTTGGTGAAAACGATTTAAAAAAAGAAAAGAAAAAAAAAAGGACTTTGATCCTAATTTTTGGCTTTACATTTTGGCTTGTATTCTTTGCTGTTTGTCTGCTTGAATAAACATACACGCACCAGTGTACAAAAACTCAAATTGTGTTTCAAATTCATGTTTCGGCAAATTCTCTCTTCAAATTGCCTACAAATTTATGGCTCCTTGTGGAAGAAAAAGGACTAAAGGTTTGCCTGTAGACATGTGCTGCTACCTCACTCTGCATGCCTTCAAATTGATCTCACCAAGCTGAAGTCCGCATCCTCTCTCCACTCAAGCTTTGTGTAAATACATACCCCATTTCACACGGTCTCCTCCAACTGAGAGGCTTTTCTTTACTGCCATTGCAATGCATGTTAAGCTTGTGTTTGAGTCTTGCCTTTTTTCTTTTTCTCGTTTCTTCAGTTGTTACAACCTGGCGTGACTGACCAGGCATTCCAGGTAAAATGGTTCTTTGCTGAACCTTTTTTTAGGGTGTTTTTTTGGAAAGGGTTGGTTAACTACCTCATCCTGGAGGCTGAAACTGCCCTATCTGTACTGTACATACGGAGACTTGATGCAAGCAGGGCTTTTTATATTCAACTTATGCACAAGGGCAACATCAGAGCCAATGTACCTAGTGTATTATAGTCCTTTTGTAATGATGCTGAGCAGTCAGACTGGGCATGTGAATGACACTCATGTGATGAGTCTAAAGAAGCCTAGCCTCCTTCAGTCTGAGCCGAGCGAGACGCCTGCCTCTGAGGATGTAGTTACAGCTCGCGAGACGGGTGACGAGGATGTTACTTGTTTGATTATAAAAGCTTGAACTTGAGGAAGAAGCTACTTTGAGAAGCTTTAGCTGCGTTTCTCAGACCCCCGCCCCAAACGAATTTGTGCTTTTAAAACTTATTTTTGTTTGTTTCAAGTACATGCGGTCCACGTTGATGGCTGCTTGATCAATTTTGAAACCAACACCATCCCTTTTGTGAGCTACATGCCGCCTAGGCAAGCAGAGTTCACCGTCGTTTTTAAAGGCAGGTCCAGAGTACCGGTCTGATCGCCGCTGCTTCTCTCGATGGAGGCAGTTAGGCCGGTCTGGCCGACAGATCAGCTGGGATCGATCTCTGTGCTTGAGCTTTGCTCTGTCTCCATCCCTGGCGCTGATTGTGAATCAGACTGGACTGGTGAGAGCGGCTCTGACTAAGCCATTACCCGTTCAGTCTGTAATAAGAGCTGTGCTCAGGGCAGCCAGGACGTTTGAGGTCATTGAACTGGGCACACCATAGCTGCCTTTTCATCACATTTGATGTGATGGATTATTAAGATATGCATCATTTTGGGCATGTTATCGGTAACTTTAATTCTCTTATGCGCTCGTACAGGGTTTATACATTTTTAAAGGGATTCTGTTGATGTTTCAGTTTCTTTTTTTGCTTCTTTAAAAGTATTGACTGGATTTTGAATATGACTGACTCCACAATTTTTTCTGTATCACCATCAGACCATTTTTATAAAAAAGTACTGCTGCATAACAAGTGTTTTTGCATTCCTGCAAATAAATTTTTTAAAATGAAAAGGTGTGGCCTTGCTTGATTCTGTTCTGTCTCCAGAGTGCTTTTTTCTCTCTAAACCTCAACTTGTGAATGTCTTAAGTATAATCAGTGCCGTTAGGTTACAGTAACTTATTTAAATTAAAACTAAATAAAGACTAATTTTGATTTACCTTATCACTTCATGACCACATTTTACTTTCACAGATGGTTTTGTACGCTCATTCATTTTTACCACCTTTGCATTGTTTTTTTTTTTTTTTTACTGACCGCCGTTTGTCAAGTTGTCAAGGTCTGTCTTAAGAGCTCTGCATATTCAGTGGTTGTGTTAGTCACTAAAAATTACAAACCATGCACAGGACACGGGCCCCAAAATTCACTTTCCATCAGTCAGGCTTATTTGCAGTGACGTCACAGTTTTTGTGTTGAATGAATAAATGAATGTACCATTTCACAACATATAATTATTTCTATACTGTTAATTTAGCAGAAGCATTTTCCAAAATGACTTGCACATGAAGTCTGTCATGAAAGCAATGATATTCATAGGGCATGACTAGGCCATCGATCCCAGTGAAGTTGTGTAAATGGAGAAAAGAAGAGGACTGAGCACAGAACCTTGAGGAACCCCAGTGATTAGCAGACAGCCCTCCTCTGCAAAGATCTGGCTGTGAGTTAAGACTGAAGTACCATACCTGTGATGCTCGGGTTAGAGAGGGTGGACAGGAGGATCTGGTGGTTTACAGTGTCCGGCCGTACACAGGTCCTGTAGAATAAGGACAGATGATCTGTAGTTCGCTCTTGCCAGTCGGAGAGGTTCAGCAACAGACAGTAAAGTGTAGAATTTGCTGCATTTAGTCATGCTCATTGGTTCCACATAAATGAAGTTACACAAACATAATTTGTTAGCATGACTTAATTGGAATTTATTTTTAAGTGACCCAGTTATTTAAGGGTACGTTTATAAAATGATACCTTAATTTTTGTTTTTGTCGTAATTGACACAAAAACGCTCTCATGGTGTTATGGCGACATCATGTGGTCAACATGTGAATGTGACTGGAAATCACTGAGGATGGAAGAGGGACATCTGTCCTGGTTTCGCATGCAGCTTAAGACCTTCAAGATTCATGATTACAGACAGGTGTGTTTGATTAGGGATGGAACTAAACTGGCTGCGTCCGAAACCGCATACTCAAAGAGTAGGTACTTAATTTCAATAAGTACTTACTTAATGAGCGCTAAGAGTTAGTACTCTACAGCCAAATCTCGTTAAGGATGAATGCGATCCGAAAACCCAAAATCGTTATCTCTTGAATATGTTGTTAATTTCTTTATTTTATGAGCAAATTGTTCATCCACAAGCAAAACTGGCTTAAATCCCCTTTGTTTTCCTTGGTGTTTGCACAAAGACAACATCGGGCAGCTGCTCAAAGGTCTGGCCTTTGGAGAAAACTGTTGACATTATACTTGAAAAATGTAATTATTAGTACTTAAAAATGAAGATTACCCCAGAATGAATTGCATTGCTAGCCCACCCCAACACTTATGCACAATAATAATGATAAATGCTGACCAATAATTAATTATATTAAGATTAATTATATATTTAAACTGAAATGTATACGTTTTAGTGAAACAAGCTAAATGTATTTTTTTCATATGCCATAGCTATGCATGAATACATACTAGATAACTGCTGCCAAGGTGAACACCAACATTTTCAGGCAAGCAATGAATTCATGCATAAGTTAATGAAATAATTATATTTTATTTACTGACAACAGGAAACATGAATGAGTAAAAGAATGAATGAAAGTAACTATCACAATAAATAAATACAAGTCAACAACACATGAAACAAAGCTTTATTCAAACGTATTGTTTTATTAATCACATATTTACAGGTGGCGAACCTCACATCCCACAGCTGTGCCAGTTCTGCAGCTTTATTCTGATGAAGCAGCTGACCACCGTGTCCACCTTCACCTGTCTCTGCCGTCCATCATGTCCCTCATCGCTGCAGTCAAACGTGTGCTTACTGGAGCTCCCCTGTCAGCAATACACAATAAAACAGTTTACTCTACAGTAACTCAACAAAAGTGATTTGAACACAGGGACCCGTGTTTTTGATTGATAATATTCACATTGTCAAACAATCCCCATTCACACGGATCTGTAAAAAGGACTAAAGTGCTGCATTATTCATACCAGGCCAGTAGTTGGCCTTTCATAAAGAAACTCACACGTAAATTGTAATGTGCACATGATGTCACAGTTTTCACAAATTCATGTTTTCATAGTTTATGAAATAGATAACGATAGCGATAACGGTATTGTTTCCAAAAACTTTTTCAGCAGTTTCAGGCCTCCAAAACACCTTTGTCATGCAAATGAACAGTTTTACATTTTCATGTAAACACCCTGAGACTACTTAAATAAACCTACTTAAATCGGGGACGGGCAACTCCGGTTCTGGAAGGACACATGCTGTGTCCGAAACCGCATCCTTCCCTAATATATAGTAGGCAAAAAGCAGTAGGTGAACAAATAAGTATGTCCGAATCCGTAGTATTCATTAAAGAGTAGGCGAGAATGACCTGCATGGTGTACTACTTCTCGCGAGATTCAAACGTACGTATACTTAAGTTGCATTCGAATATGCCTACTTACCTACTATATAGTCAAGTCAAGTCAAGTCACCTTTATTTATATAGCGCTTTTAACAATACAGATTGTGTCAAAGCAACTGAACAGCATTAATTAGGAAAATAGTGTGTCAATAATGCAAAATGACAATAGTAAACACTCATTTTTCAGTTAAAGGCAGTTCATCATTGAATTCAGTGATGTCAACATCCAGCTCAGTTCAGTTTAAATAATATCTTTGCAATCAAGTCCACGATAACGCTGGAAATGAAGTGTCCCCAACTAAGCAAGCCAGAGGCGACAGCGGCAAGGAACCAAAACTCCATCGGTGACAGAATGGAGAAAAAACC